CCGGGAGTCTTGTCACCATAAATTATTGGAAGCACGTAAAAATTTTCGTTCGCCAGTGTCTCAAGCACATCGGTGAGGTGGGGTGGACGATGTGAGCAATTTCCATACCCACTTTTGGGCCCTTCCGGGTAAGAATACTCTGGGCCTGCAGGACTCGAATCGGGGATGTGTGATTTCCAATATGCGTCTGACCCGATTGCAATAATTTTAACGACGTGCTTCGTGTCTTTGGACGACCATTTGATCTTCGGCTCGGTAGCAGTATAAAGTAATGCTGTAAGGCTAGACTCGTACTCGTCCCTCCCGCCGTAAGTGCTATCCACGTTTCTAACAGCATCGAGGAAGGTTTCATTATTGGAGGTAGTCAGCTCATAACGGTAGCAATAGGTGGCATTCGCATTGTGATTTTCAACCGTGGGATAATCTCCAAATGTTGTCAGGTGTAGCTTAGCATTGGGATCTTCATTCAGTATTTTGTTAACCACAAATGTAATTTTAGGCATAGCTCTCTCTAAATATGGCGTATCTGAAATGAGCCATTTTCTTCGATATTTCTCTGCAAAAAAATATTTCAAATCTTCGTTGAAAAAAAATTAGTCGCTCGGTATCCCTTCAAGTATCACTTCAAGTAAGAAGTAACACCAGCCATTAAGATATATACACTGCGAGTTCACTGCAGGTTAGATGTTAAAATCACCTCTAATGCATAATTAAAATATCTCGAAAACTACTAAATCCAGTTTGGTTAGGCTAGGTTAAGTTTATCAATTTCACAATGGGGTGAATATTAAAATGAAAGTACTTCTCGTCATTAGATTTGCATGTAACAAGTACTCTCGCTGTAATAATGACACCATAGTAAGTAAAGTTTTTTTTATGTTAATCTACAAGAAAATCTGGCTATGTAAAAGATAGCATCTCTGTCACGTACAAAATATCCGATCTATGCAGCAACTAACATAACTAGCAATCGTAACCTTCACAAATTTACACACACTCCAACATGCTGAATCTTAGCTTAGACTAATTCCACACGAACGGTTTGGGACACCCTAATGGGTTTTTATCACAAAGACATTCATAAATTTAATTTATAAATTTGTCTATTTCATATGAAATGACCTTGATATTCGTGTATTTGATCTACAACCGCTACAAACTAAGGTGCTCATTTTCGGAAATCAGCTGGGATAACCTTGGTGGATGCTTCTAAATAACTCTGTTTTAATAACACTCTATTTTCACTTTATGGCACATACCTAGGTATATTACTATGCCCCATATAATAGTCGTCTATCATAAGTCCGAATATTCTGCAGCATACCTTTGCAACATTTACCGATAAACTACTTGACCAATGTTTGCCAACTTTCGACTTTAATTGCTGATACGGCATGTGTACCAAATTTCAAGTCGACACACCGAAACTGATGGCAGGCTGATCGATGGACACATAATGTTCCTCTAAGCCCTGACAAGAAAACTATTTTCATATCAATCAGAGAAAGGTGGTAAACATTTTACGACTTTAAGAATGCCACTTCTATAATAATCGCGGAATTTCTATTAAACTCAATAAGTACGTCAGTATTTCTGCAATTTGACATGTGCTAAAAATAAAATTCAATTACCCCAAGGGCATGATTACCGGCAGGCCCCGATCTAGCCCAAAATCTTACCTGGGCAAAGAAATTAGGCGCCCCAAGCCACTCGCGCGTTCGGCGCTCGCATGTGGTTTTTTCTCAAATATTTGCGAAAAATATTCTTACCCAGACCTTATTAGATTTGACGTATACAAAAAGCAAACTTTTTGAGCTTCTATAGCTTTGATGTAAGATTGCTTAAATTCTTCGTAATATTGAGAAGATCAATATTCCGTAATACAGGTAATATTAGGGACGCGCGTATCAAATTTTTGAGATACATGCCAAAATGTGCAACTTTTTTGCTAATTTTCCTAATCCTGATCTTTTACTCAAAATCGTATACATGAATTAGATAAGATATCACTGTAAACAATTTAAAAAAATTATTTCAGACTAGTATTTTGCCGCTGCTCGATTTTTGACTTTAATTTTGTAATTTGTTGAGTTCTGAAAAATTATACCATTATTCCGACTGTTTTTTTTACACACAAGCGTTTAAGCTAGCTTTCCGCGGGCGACGGGCTTATTTGATTCTCCTGTCATAATTCCACCGAATTATTTTTTTATGGTATCTATATTATTAGCTGGGAATTTCTGCTGGCAAGGGAAATGAAATTTTCACTCCCGTCACAGCAAATTAACTTCACTTCCGTTGCAGACAAACATTTCCAGGTTATAATATAGAAGATGGAATGGATTCGCTAGATAAAATCCGTTCGGTTTTCAGAATTTTATAAACAACAGGATATTTCGTTAATTATTTTGTTGGGCGGCAAAAAGTTACTTGTCTTCAAAATTATTAGTCCAAGTTTTGAAAATATAACAGTTTAGAAATTTTATCAAGTAGATTACGGAGATTTAAATAGCGGTGAAATAGATAGGTTAAATTAAATTTTACCCTTTTAGATATTAAGTTCTTTTACATATTTATTCGTGATTATTGTTAAAATTGCGGACTCTCAGACTGATGCCGCAATTGTAAAGACGCTTTCAAATAAACGAACAATGCGGGTCATTTACGTGCTTAACCCAGATCCCCATAGCACGAATTTTATTTTATTCAGCACCAAAAACAAATGCGTCCCGGTATTCTTTGCATTTTTCGTATTGCGCTAATTCGAAGGGCAAATTTTAAGTTATTTCCAGCCAAAACCTCGTTTTTTAAATTCGGAAAATCCTCGAATTTTAACGCGAATCCAAAATTCCAAAACATGTCTCCTCAGAATGCTTTATTTCATTTATAAAAAATCTACATATTGTTTGAAAATTTGAGTTTATCGTTTAATGAATTTAGAATACTTGCAAAGTATTCTGAACTTCAAATTTGGAACAAACTGATTTACAACTGATTTTTTTATAATTCAGGTAAAATTCTGGTTAAACATGTTTTTGAAGTTTTAGATTCTCACTAAAATTGAAAAATTTGTTTGGAACCAAGGTTTCGGCTGGAAGCAGTTTACAATTAGTGCCAAGCGCTCAAAGTTGCGCACTATGAGAAATGCAAAAATACGGTCGTGTTTATTTTTTGCGGTGAATCGTATCAAATTATTCATATGGAGACTTGAATTTTACTTGTAATATACCTGCATAGTGAGTCGTCCTCTTTAAGAGGAGTCACAATGCATGTCTGCTGTCAAATCGACACTTCTCAAAAATCGGAATGATATACGTACATACATACAACCAAAATGTTTCTGGGCTAAAATCATAGAAACCTTCAAGATGCTATGCAACCAATGCGACATAGAACAGTTGTTATGTCATACAATTTATTCCGCTCTCCAGCGTAAACTCTAAATGTTTTGCCACGCATATTATTTTTTAATTCAGTTTTAGAGAATTTAAATCTTGAGCAAAATAGAGGTTAACACAATAATTGGGTGAAATTTGTGCAATCATTTATTTAACGGTGGATAATTTTTCACAACAATGGAATGAATTTTACCTAATTATCCTCTATTTTACTTAACCTTAAGTATTTTTATTTATGTTCATTTAGAGTGCGAGTCAAAATTTAGAAACTGCAGTGGCCAATCTCAGAGCCCCGCTTAAGCCAAAAAAAAACTTAAACATAATCCGATTTTTTTCCGTCCCAGAAAAAAGTTTAAACTTTTTCCATTGTTAAAATCCGCTTAAAATCTAATCTGATCCGAAATTGAGCCGGGGCACTGGACACGGATTGAAATGGTGTCCAGAGAAAAACTTACGACCAAAACTAAGCCAAAAATGCTGCGACTGCTATTTACTAGTCGTAAGTCCAAATCTCTCTCTTTCTCTCACCTGTTAGCTCACAAGTAAATACTTCAATTTTACTTGGAACTATTTTTTAACATTTTATTTGAGTATGCTATAGCATACTCAACTAAAATTACAAGTTAATTCCTCCGAGTGACGAACAAGTGATTCGCCCTTGAGTCTCCACCGGGCCTTGACTTGCAAATTATCGCAGTCGTGACTCCTTTATATGGGAGTGCCTTTATTCCTACCGAATGCAACTAGAAGACAAATATATAAAAGAAGGCAAACATTTGAGAGACTAAGTGAACGTGATATAAGGGAACATTATAGTGTGCTAGGGTGGTGCGCCAGCTTGGAGCGCAAGAGAGCTTATCAAACTTTATCATCATCTTGAAGGGAAAATAATTACCACGGTCCCTTGTTTCTACAGTCCTACGTTTCTTACTGGTGCATTTTGGAAATACCACAACTATACGCTGCAAGGGCAATTTAATAAGCAGTGAAAAAATGAGGCACGTTTGTAAGAAAAATTAGTAATTGGAAGTATCGATTTTATCATTTTATTTAAGATGTTATCAGTTTTCGAATTCTCATTATTATAACTTGTTTACTAGGACTGATCGCTACAGCTGTTATCGCCACTTCATAAGCACGTGAATCAATTTTAGCTCCTAAATAGCATTCCCGGTGGTATTGATCTACGTGATCCTTCTTTCAAATTTCCGACAGGTTAGAAATTGTGGTCTTGACACAAAATTTGGCTGTGACTCACTCTCCCTCACTTTTTTTTTACAGATAGACCTCTATTGACCTATCGATCAATGATGCGACGAAAGTGTTGATTTATGTTTTCAAGTATGGGCTCTACATACATCAATCATTGGTCACAGGTCACGAACGGGCCACTTCCTATCTATGAGTGACGACTAGATTTATCTAAGTCAGTCCCATGTTTGAGTACATGTTGTTTTGAATGCAAATAAAGAAACCTTGAGAACTCATTTGTATGATGCAATCGTTAATGAAGAACAATTTATTATATACTAATATATTCCCTCGCGATAATTGCACCGACATGAAGACGATAATAATATAATTAAATAATTCGCCACGGTCTCAGTCCACCCATGATAAGGCTGCTTCTTCAGCTACTGTAACAATTAATTTCTTATAAAGAACTATCTTCTGCATGCTTTTCACTGGCCCCAATTGAGTACTGCATCTAAACAAATGTGTCACCACCATTAATTTTTTTTAAATCGACTTACTTGTCTAGCAGTGAATGTGAGATTGATCACGGTGGTCACGTTGCAACCTGTGGGGGAGAAACGTGTATATATAATTGTTATTCTTAAAGAGAGAAGGTAAATTATAATTACTTACGTTGACAGAATAAGGTTTGATAGTGGAGATCCTTTTTGTTATTGATAATGAATTTGGAATGGGCAGGTCGTTTTAACAAGCAGAAAATGATTTTGGAGCTATGGTCGGGCAGGATTTAGTCTCATGAAAAGTTGAGACTGGTTTAAGCCAAAAGTTGAGTTGAGCCAATCCAAAAATAAACCGTAGTAACGTTAGAAGTAGCTCACCCTATAATATTAGTTAGGCTATAACTATGCACCAAAGGTACAGAATAAGGCGACAAAATAGATTATAACTCTCATAGATTCTTACACCAATGGTGCAATATAAACGGAAAAATAAAAACAAAAATCCGGAATTAGTTTGCACCACTAGTGCAACATTTGCGACGAACGGGAAACATAATTTTGAAAACTTCGAAAGAATTGTATGGTTCTTTCTCCAGACTGTCTGCATCATTGGTGCGTAGGGCATCCCTTCCCCAATTATTTATTATAAAATTTATATATTTTTTGCGTGAATGGTGCAGAATAATCGAACAAATAGAACAGAATTCTGACATGATTTTTGGGGGGAAGTAGATGGCCCAGTTGTTACGCAGCATTGAATTTCGGGAGGAAATAAATGGCCCAATTGTTACGCATCATTTTTAATAACCAATTGCTCGGTACTAACGGTGCTACTTATTCCAAAATTATAGTCCTATCTCGATCTATTTGCTGAATTAACTTGCACCATTTGCGTACGGATTGTTTGCTACATATGGTGCTACTCAGTCCTGCAATAATGGAGCAGGGACTTATTAATTCGCATCAATTGATGCAAAAAACTCGTCAACAGACAGACGGACAGACGGACGGACAAGAGGAATTCAATAGCTCTCATGCTACGCAGGGTGAGCTAATAATCCGATCAGGGCTCTGGGACGGTCCAAAAAATGGACTTAAACCGCGCTCAAATAAAGATTAGCTTAAGCTGATATTTAAGCCGGGGCTCTGGGAGTGGCCCCAGGTTTCAAAAATTGCAATTGTGCATCAACACATCAGAACTGTCGCAATGACTTGTCCAAACTTGATACAAGTAAAAACTCCAAGCAAAAGATTTTAAAAAGTTACAACAGGAAGATTCAATTATATCTAGTGTAAACCCGGGCGCCTACTGGCCCCCCCAGGGTGTTGGCGCCCTGGGCAGCTGCCCCGGGTTGCCCGCCCAAATGACAAGTACCCAAATTAGTAGATTAGGAAAAGTTCACTGATGAAATTGCTTCTCAAATTAAAATTACCAAACATACGAATCAAAGTAGCTTCAGTCTAACGTCACCTAATCTATTCAAAATACCAACCGGGAGCACTAAATTTCACTTTATTTCAGCCATAGTGTCAGTTTCTGGAACAACGTAATTTTGCCTCAGGTTTACTAGACTCCCGCTTCAAGGGTGAGTTCTTATGGCCTTGGAATTGGTTTGCACCACATGTTGTAAATACGGTTGCCATTTTTTTACCCGTTATAAACTTGTGCTGCTGTTAGGGTGCCGGGTGTTCGAAAAATTTACACCCCCTGTTATCAGTAGGTGTAGAACTGACCTCTCATAATTTTTATGATGGAACAGCCACAGGATACTATCCATTCGCTCCCCAAAAACTGCATGTCGAACTCCTAAGACAGACAAGCGGACGAATCCTTCGCCCCTGGCATGAACCTGCAGCTACTTAATATCTTAAGTTCATCAAAATAGCAGTTTTCGAGATATGGATAGTATGGAAGCACAATATATTGTTTTGATATATTGTATGCTAGTAAATATTGAGATGCGTAGCGTATGCTTACCAGTGAATGTCTGCACTCTAAAAAATATTTACCCTAGCCAGTGTAAAACCTTGCACGAGCAGGAACTAAAAGTGATCCTGCTCTGAGCAGGGAATATCGACTAAAAACGATAAAAGGTACCCAAGTTTGCCTGTATAAGGTAAAGGGTTAGACCCGTACCAGATGCATGCCTAAGTTGTGTTGAGTTCAACTCTATATTGGGTAAACTTATCCCCGCTACCGGGTTACTAATTTACTGGTATATGGGTTAGATCAACCCTCGCCGTAGTTGTAATTAATTATACGCATTTCATAAATTCAATTAATTGAAATTCAATTCATTTATTTTTATTCATTACACATCATTAAAACAATGGAATAAGACAAATTAAAACAAAACATGTTACGAATTAAAAATAGCATGAGAAATATATCTGAAATATCATAGCAAAACTAGAACGACATAGGAAGTACAGATTAACCTGGCTTGAAATAATCTTGCTGATGACCTTCCATAATTTTGCTCGGTGTCTTACACTAGGAATTAAGGGAATTATGCCATCCTTCTGCAGCAACAGCAGCTCTTCATAATCGATATGATTATCTAAAAAGTTTAATTTTTAATTATATCTTTTTACAAGTATTATGATGATTCATGTTATACTCACCTTTAAATTTGTCGACATATTTATGCAGCTCGAACTGTTGCAGCAAACGCTCGACTTCCATGAAACTTATTTTAATTATAGCTTTTAAAAACTAAGAAATTTTGTTGAAATTTTGTTTAATCAAAGTTAAATAATTAAAATAATAGACTTAAAAAACAGAACTGAACACTGTTCGCTCAGGGGGAATGATGTGTTGCCGGTTGAAAAAAGCCAGGTAACACAAAGACCCTTGCCCGCCCATTATTTTTAACTCCACTTAGGGTAATATCAACCCCGAGTGGGACATATTAAACACTGATCAGATGTAATTTCATTTATGTGGCATTTTTTGCCGTTACCTTACTACGGGTTAACTACTTAGCTCTGTACGATACTAGTTTTACTTCGGACAGAGTAATCTAGAATCTAACTATTTCTGGGTAACGCAGATTTTTAACAGTGTGCGTCGAGTCAATTATCAGTGCGAACTCGTACCGGACCATATCACAAGTGCACACCCGCTCCCTGACAATAGGCATAATTAGACCTGTGATTCCCTCCGCAGTTGTTGCGTCAATTCCATCAATTTTCAACACTCGATAGTTATTAGGGGTATTGGCAGTTGTGAAAAAGTTTTTATATGTAGAATAGATAGTAGGAGTTAAAAGCCCAAGGAGCAAAATATTTCGTTTTTCCAACGTATCGAACAGCAGTCTCTTAGAAACAGGACCCAGTTCGCACGGCGCATCGTTCGGTTTGCCGTCTGGTGAAGGAAACTTGTATTCGGGTCCTCGCGCAGGATTATCGTCCTCAGCGTACTTCCACCGATTATTGGAGATAACGACGATTACATTTGTGTCCGAGTTCCATCTGATGTTTTTGTCTATGGCGGTGAAGTAGAGAGCATTCAGGGTGGAGTCCCACCCATCGGTATAGTTATCTGGCAGGATATTTCTTGGGACGAAATCTTCGGACGTATCAAGTCCATCCTCGTTTGTTATAAATTCGTAACAGTAAGATGATGAGCTGTTGACCCCCTTCCAGTCGGTAAATCCAGTTAGGCCAATCTCGATCTTTTCACGGTTAATGGGGAAGGGGAACATGCTGTAACTGAGGGCATGGTTAGGACCCTTCAGTCCGGTAAGCGAATAATAAAATGGGGATGTTTTGTTCAAATCTAAAACAAATCATGTTAAGAATTTTACATGTGATCGCTATATTTTAGTTTGTAAACGTGGGGAGAATCGATTTTGTTCCGCTGCGTTCTCCTTAGAATAGCCTTCTCCTACACACCCAATCAGTGGCGTGCAACATATTCTCAAGGCATATGTTAATAATACAAATATACACATATGTTTGAATTCTTAGAGTTCAGGTATTTAAACCGTAAGAGAAAAAAATTGTTGTGGTGAATAATCCCGTTTTTGCTTGATTAGTTCACAGTGGACTGCACAAATGTTCAACGCAGTTACGAAAAGACTATAAATTTTGGTAGGGTAAGATTCAAGGGATTCGAGGGGGTGGGAAAATATGACATTTGCAGCGTGTAATTAATTTTTATGCATTTTAGTGCATTTTAATATATTTTTATCAGTTTTATGCATTTTTTGCATCATCCATTCATAAAAATAATTTTATATGCACAAAAAGAAAGCCTGGCTGGTAGTGGGGGCAGGCTACATAGGTACTACCTGGACAAATTTTTCTCGTGAAAAAGTTGAGAAACAATGGGAAAAATAAATCCAATGGAGGCGCAAACAATGGAGGCGCAAACCTTGTTCAGCTCAGGTTATTTTTACACCATGTTAGTTTGAAAGAACTTTCATTTTCGTGCATTTTTATTCACTATGCATGCATACAAATAATTTCGTGCGCACAAAAAGAAACTCTGGTGAAAAACTTCAATCGGATTGAAGACAAAAGGATTATTTCTAGACGATTTTTTAATGGAAACTTCATTGAAATATAAATTTCAAAAAATGGAACTAATAATCTAACCTTTTTCAAGCTACACCAAGGTTGTCTAGCGAGTTATATCAAAGCGTCAACCCAAAAATAGGGATCAAGTGATACTTATCTTTTCGTTGACTGGCAACTTTGAAGAAAAATATTGGCGGCAAAGTTCTATTTTTTAATAAAATATGTTCCTAATTTTATGTTTTCAATCTTTTTCCTCTACTTGACGAAAACCATGCTGGATTTTGAACTCTGCCCCGCAATAGTTTTTTTTTCTAAACGGGCCATTGAACGGAAAAATAAGTGTTATGTATTCCTAATTTTTGGCTTGACTTTTTGATACACACAATTCGCTAAGAAATATTGGTGTAGCTTTAAAAACGTTCCAATGTAAGCCACAAAGTTTGGTTTCAGAAACAACGAGTGACATCTACGTAGCAAATTATGGCATGCGTTACTTGTATATGGACTGGTCGGTGAAGTTAAGTGTTAAGATTCCCCCTATTATTTCAACGCCAAAAAATTTTGGCGGGTTATGGAGAAAGTCATCATAGAAACGAATAGTCATGATGAAACGAATGGCGAAGCACTCATAAGAGGTGTGCGACAAAGTATTCTCTCCACCGGTAGTGGAGAGAATACTTTGTACTTGGACAATGGAAGGACTAAAAAACTTCGGTATATTCATCGTGAGTAT